TGAGTTTGGGAGTGGAAGAACGCAGCAGCGGTGATGGCGATGCACCCTCGACCCCGGCCACCGATGCACTTCCATCCTCCGTGATAGTGCAACCCAACAGGGGAGGTGATGAGGGTGGGTCGAACACCAAAAACGAGGGAAGAAGGCTGGGGTCGGGTGTTCAGGGTCCCTGGCTTCACCCGTAGCTCAAGGGGCGATTCGTGGGAGAGGACGTGATGAAGAAGGCGGGGAAAGTCCACATTCCGGCATCCCTCCAAAACCCTCACATCTGTTGAGCGGAAAAAGAGAAACACATAACGAGCCAAACTAAGGCAAACTCGAATAGGTAGCTAATTGATGTCATAGATCCTCCAACCGTAATCAATAAGAAAAAGATAGCAGGGCATTTGGAATATAGGGCTATTCACAGTTTCAAATACCTCAAATTTACATCCGTGAATTACCGCTCGTTTAGGATGGGAAATCTGAAGAGGCATTCCTGATGGTGATGAATTCCAATGAACTGTTGGACTTCTATGTAGCGCTCCGCTGTATCGACAGATGGGGTCCAGGAAGTCCTACGTGCCCTAATCTTCATTATTTACGATTTCCTTAAGCAATTTTTAGGGTTTTCCTTTCGGGTGTTCATTTTATCCTTTCGCAGCGATGGTCAACTTTTTTCACAGTGTTTAGTTCTCCCTACCATGGAGGTCAACAAAGGTCTATTTCGATGTTCCTTTGGCTACGGTGGTTGATATTACTCACACCAAGTTCTTAAAAATACCGTACCCCCGGGACATCATTTGGGTGACTTATGGAACTATAACTTCAAACTTTACACCATCTTTTATTCTATTGTAATAGGCAATTATTAAATAGGCAATATGAAAAAACACCATCTATTCAGTCTTTTTTCTACATTCTTCTGCCCTACATGTCCTGGAGAGCCTCCAACCTGCGTCGTACCTTTTCTTGAAAGGTTCCACACAATTAAGGGCGGCAATTGCGTGACTTGATGCGAGAACACGCGGAGAAATACTAGACTAATTATTTATAAATAAGAAAATAAATAGGTTTAATAAAATATTGCATGTTTCGTTTGCATTGGAGTACATTATCTTTATGCTACAAAAAATTTCAGTTTTCTTTTACTTAGGCAACGAAAGAGTTAAATCATTTAAAGCGCGAAATATGAGTGGATTTTGTCTGTCAGTCTGTCAGTCGCAACAAGACGGTTAACATTCTGCGATTGAGGAAAACTCACAGTACGTGAGAAAAAAAAACAGCAAAGCGGTGGCAGCCGGTCGTTAAAAACTCCGCGACGAAAAGGTTAATCTTGAGTCCGTTGTCCAGGATCGTGGTCATTGAAGGAAGCTCCTGGGCATGCTGGAATCGCGATCTCATTAAATTGGGATGAGTGGTAACGTAAATGTATGAACACATTTCAATCGCCCCTTATGAAAATGTATCATAGGAAAAGATTTTATTATGTATTATAACCCTAGAGGAACATATAGAAATCCTATAGGTCCCCTATAGGGTCTATAGGATTCCCTTTGGGCCCTATAGGGTTCCCTATTGGACCCATAGGGCTCCTTGTAAGACCTATTGTGTCCCGTTTAGGACCTATAGGGTTCCATATATGACCTTTAGGTCTCCCTTTTGGACATAAAGCACCCATAGGGAACCCTATAAGAACTACAGGGTTCCGTTTGAGATTCTCCTCTAGGCCACTAGATGGAGGTATGGGGTTCTCGCACGACTCACAGTACACAAACGTGCCCTTCTCTCTATCCATGGAATCACCTCTCATAGGAGTGTTTTGTACCTCCCCGAATGTCTCACCTTGCCTCATTGTAGCAAACAATAAACTTCGACACTCCCTTATTCGTCATCCCTATATTCCCGAAAGAATTATGGAGTCCAGGCCAGAAATGTGTTCATATTCCCTATGAGAACCGGGTACGATCATATTATAAGAAAGGAGCGTATGTTCTTTGCATCAGACTGCGTCTGTCATTTTCACAGGTGGAGAGAAGAATCATTTTTCTCTACCGAAAGAAATGGATGCGCTATCCTGCTCATTCTAGCGACATACGTGCTCATGGACAGTAGAAGTATTGGAAATAGGAAATCCCTCAATTATGGGAAAACCTCTACTCGGTAATTAATTTACACAAAATGCTGCGCCAATATTGACCCCCGACGGCCATTCCCGTTGTAATGCCAGGGTTTGAAAACCCAAAAACCCTCCCCGAATCCTATAGGTCAAGAGTCCTATACGACCCTGTCCCCATCCTATAGGTTTTTCCTGTTTCAAAAACCTATAGGAAAGTCTACACATTTCCTATAAGAAATATCTATAGGTTTCCAATAGGATATTTCCGTAAGGGATCCCACACTTTCTTTACCTGCCCTCGCAGGGGACCCACAAGTTGAAGCTATGAATTTGAAACGCGTAAGAGAGACATTTCAAGCGCTGCAGATGCTGATAAATTGATCTCGTGTCGGAATTTGAGACAGATTCCTCGCCTGATCAGGATTAAGAAATCAAAGGTGAAATCTACCAAGTGATTATTACATATTTCCGATTTTTATCGCTAATAAATTTGTTCCCGAAATTATTATTTTTTCCTAAAACATTACACACATTTTCGCAGACCCGAAAGAAACCCTGGCAATCTAACGACGATCTGATATTTAAGTTTCGGCCGTGAATGTGTTAAATGGAACCACACTGGGTGAAAATTGGGCTGCTAACAAGAGCGATTCAAGTTAGCCGACTCCTTCCGGATTTTCAACCCAGGTCGGACATGGTATCCTGTCCTCGTCAAACACGAATGCCGCCATCACTTGGAAACTGTGAGAACGCGTCCACCTCATGAATGCAATTAAAAATAATTCAACGTGAAGGCATTCGTCAAAACATTTCCTTTTTGGAGGGACCGTTGGATAGTAGACACTTCATTGTACGTTGCCTGTGCATGTCACGAGTAGCGATCTTACTTGTTTGCGAAGAGAGTTGGAATCCCTTCTTGAACTGTTTCACATCGACGGTCATCGTAGCATAGAAGATATAGGAGTCGAAGGCGATGGTGAGAGAAGCGAGAGAGGCATGGCCCGAGAATGCCGAGATGATCCTCTCCCATTCCACCCTCAAACCCTCCGTGTTTCCAGGTAAGCCGATACCGCCAACGGGTACGTTGTCGAAGGCTACATGGAGTCTTTCTCCTTCGTTCGTGCACTTCTCCAGCATCTCCACCAAAAGTTATTTTATGATCTGGGGGTCGGGAAACGGATTTTCCCCTAGCCCATGCTGCTGGATGAGGTCGTGGACGTCGTTGACCTCGACCATGTTCAACATTTTTCTCTTCTTCATCCTCTCTCTCACGTTCACCAGTGAGAGACTTGGAGGATAGTTATCTCTGTCCCATCTGCTGCAGTCCACGAACATAATCCGATGTTTGCACTCCTCCTTTTTGTCTTTGCGGTCTTCCGGCGTTTTCCATTTCGATGAAGTCTCCTCAGATTCCCGCATTTCCTTTTTTTCAATTTCTGCCTTTCTCTTCAGCTTATCCAAAAGGAATGCAGTTTTTCCAGAACGAATTGGTCTGAAGAGCAGCAAAAACTTCCATTCCTCGGATTCGGCATCGGGCCAAGGGTAAGACTTTTCTTCCGGGCACCTGGTCCACGAAATCTCTGCATGAGAAGACTCGTCCAGTGAATCATCGGAAACACCTGGAAGTGATTTTTTAGGATTTCTGAGTGAGCAACAGGCGGTGAGTCCCTTTTGTGCAGGTTCTTCCCAGCGACCAGAGGGCAATGGGTCTACCGTGATCACGTGGAGGCTTCCAAGGGCCATTCCCACCGTTCGAGACCAAGAGCGATATAACCATTTTCCATCATCCAAGAGAATGAGGTTGTGGAATGACATCCCAGTCGCCTGGTGCTGATCGAAGATGAGGAATCGAGGTTGGGGGTGTCCTGGGAGTGTCCCTTGAGAGTCGAGGAAGGGGACTCCTTATCCCAGTCGACTTCCGAGTTCCCGCACCAACAGATTCCTTTCTCAATGTGTCCTGGTGATGATGATGAAGGTTTCAGTATCTGGCATCCAATATCGAATAGCCATTATAGCCTCTCCTGCCCATCGGTAAACTTCATAGTCAGTCGGAGGAGCTCGGACGAAGATAACTTGGGGTATTAGTTTTCCCTCAAACGTATGATCCCTGAGGTGTCCATAATCCAAGCCTTGCATGGGGAGGTAAGAGACGCAGGGGAACCTTTCCTGAATGAATCGGGTCACTTCCATCACAAACTCCCCGACCTCCTTCGTGCTTCGTTTCACTTCTTTGAGCAGTTCCACCTTTTCTTGCTCCAAAGTATCCACAATCCTCTGGACATCAAGAGTCTCGGTGCATGTGTCACCGCTGGGACGCCACGTGATCCAAAGGCTTTGACATTCTTTTTTGGCTGCAAGGTCTCTCCATTTCTGTCCGATTTTCACCGGATCCTTTCCGTCTATGTCGAAGCCCTTACGAAAATGTCTTATAGGATTCCTATACATTCCTTTAGGAATATATAGGAATCCTATAGGAATCATATAGGAACCTAAAGGAATCCTATAGGTCTCCAAAGTATCCACAATCCTCTGGACATCAAGAGTCTCGGTGCATGTGTCACCGCTGGGACGCCACGTGATCCAAAGGCTTTGACAGGGTGTGTTTTTTATCGTTGATTTTCTCGAAAAGAAGGTCGATTCCTCGTCGATCACTGCCAAGGAATTCAGAAGAATCCATGATCGTAATATTTTCGCCGAACTTACAGGACTCACGCCACTTTTTCATATTCTGAGTCAGCTCTCCCTCCGACATGTTCACGATGACGACCGTTTCCCCCCTTTCTGCTAATTGTTTGGCTCTTTGAAGAAGTAGGTAGGTCTTTCCCGTGCCTTGTCCCCCAGTCAGGAATGGAACAGACCGGTCCTCGTCCAAAATCTTCCTTTGATGAGGGGTGAGAAGAACTCAGGCTATTTTCATTCTTTCTTCGATATTCTCGTGGAGATCTTGCATCGTTCTAGGTATTCCATCCACAGATGCCGAGGCGGCCACGTACGTCCTCACCACATCCAAATAGCATTCCTTGGCTTTTTCGTCTGTTGTCTCCCGCCTGGTGAGATTGATCCCTCTTTCCTCGAGGAATTCCTTGGCACGACGCGATGCCAGGTCGTCCGCTGTGAGAATGTTCGCATCGCAATCACACCTCAAGGAAGAAGCTACTTCCCTCCGAGACATGTATGGGAGAGCGACAAAGCAGCAGAGATAAGTATGCTCATATGCTGTTGCTCCTACGATTTGTTGAAAAATCTGTTTGCTTTTTTGGAGCTGATATTCGGCCTTTCCCAGGAGATCCTGCAGGGAGCTCTCCTCATTTGTTCGCGTTCTACTCTTCACCTCAAAAAAGAGAACAAGAACTCTTTCGCCATCGAAGATGATCCCGCATGCATCATGGTCACCGTGTACGATAGTAAATCCCTTTCGTTTCCAGCTTGTCTCTTGCTTTTTTGTCCATTTACCCGCGATCCCTATTGCTTTGTAGAACGTGGTGTTGAAATCATAATCGTTGGCAATGAAACTGGGAGTATGTGCCGATTCCTCCTTGAGCCAGTAAAAAATATTGGCTTCTGCTTTGGAATTTCCACATCTTCACTAGGTTTCTTTGTTTTGCTGTTTCCAATTTACGAAACAGCTCCTCTTGTTTATCACCTTGGAGGACGTACCCAGCAGGAAATGAATGAGCCCGTTTTCTGCCTCTGGATAATATTCTTCTTGATACTTCTTGGCACCTTCACAGAAAGGGAGGTCCTCGTATCCAGGAAGGCAAACCTTCATGTTCTGATCCTGTCGAGGATCTGCCGCATTATACTTTTCCAGCTGAGTCAGGCAAGCCAACTTCCTCATTTCCTCACAACTGTGCTTCTCCTGCCAAATAGAGAGCACCTCTTGTAAGCATTGCTCTTCTCTACGAAATAGTTTGACAGTAAACGAACCTTTGAGGCGCTTTGCTTTCCGGACATGTTCCTGTTGTTTGTTTCCCCGTTTTCTCTCCTTTCTGTGAAATCGAGATTGAAACATAAATGACATGATTTATCAATCGCGCGTATCATGTCACGATTAAAATGGGATTTAGAGACCCTTCCGAATATTAATTTTCCTTTTCAAATGGCAATTTCTCGTTATCAGGGAAGAGGACAATTAAGCACCGTTCTGGTGCTTAAAGAATTGAAAAGAGATGGCGTTAACAGGAAAGTGCGAAGAGTCACTTTCCTGTACAGGAGAGTACGGGAGACAAAGTATAGATGAAATCATATCTTGTCTTTATGAAAAATTCTAGCGGATAATTTTCATTATTTCCCTTTCATCCTTGCAATACCTCTTCAAAAGTCTACACGTTGTAGCTTCTTTTTTTTCTTTTAAAGTTCCCCAAATACGCGAAAACTCAAATTTGCAATGAAACGTCACAATGCAATAGCAATAATTTTGCAAGATTGATGCAAAATACCTGCTTTCAGTGTCTTCAGGAGCGTCGAATTTTATTCAACCCTTTCATAAATAGTTCAGTAAAGGGTTAAGCTATGAATATGCTAATGGGAAAAAATTAATAATTCCCCACAGGGAGTCTAAATGATTGGCAACCATTTGTTAAATTGGTATAAGCCAAGGGGGGCCTTCCAAACTCCCCCCCCCCCTCCTCAATTCCATTATGCCCATCCATTACATCTCTTATATTTCAATCATTTATTTATTGAAAAAGGCCAAGCTTCTCCCCAGTCTGCAAATCCCGTCGAGGAAAGAAGTCCTGAACTGGACAAAGGAATCATTTCCAGAGAAAAATTATTGTAAAAGTCAAGTAGATGTTGACAACATATTATTTGTACAGACTTAAATAGTTTAGGGTTGAGGAAAAGTTCACATTTGTGAACAGGGATTATGCTTGAAATCACGGGTGCCCATTCCTATCGCTATCGCCCAGCGTAAATTCATTTAAGAAAATTTTCCTTTGCAATTTTATTGAACTGCACTGAAAGCTTCCGTTATTGGGGGGTAAGAAAGTATATATCTCCTGAGTGGGTAGTAAAGAGGAGCATCGTAGGTCGATAAGCCATCACTGTCACGCATTTCAGCTTCTGTTTTGTTGACATCAGTGTTACATCAACTTAGACTCACCTAGGACGTTCCACTTGGTGATTTTGGCATCGACAGAAACGTGTGTCCGGGTCATGCCTTGTTCAATCCTTGCCAAGGTTGACTCTCTTCAAGGACTCACGACCTAAATTTGGTAAGATATAATTAAGTTCGTTCAAATTAAACCCGATCATGGTTCCCACTGGGACGCCTCACTCGCGTTCAAACACTGGAACCGGGATAGCCAATCAAACACCCCGTCAAATGTCATGAAAATGACGACTTCCATGTTACCACAGTCGAAGAATCGAAATTCGGCATCGTTTCTGGAGCATGCCTCTTTCAGTGCCTTTTCAGTAATATGAGCAGCTTTCTTCCATCGTGTGGTGGAATGACCCATGATTCAGATGACACATAAATTAAGTATGCCAGTTACCAAGTAGTAGTGCTTTGCTCAATCATACCTGACACGGCCGGCGACGACCTGACCGAGGAAAATGATCCATTTTCACATGTATTTTCATTCCCCATTCCCTGCCTCACGTGTCATCATTTCCCTTTCCTAGTCTCATGCGCCAAAACGTGCCAGCCACTCGGATTACCATCCCCCCTCCTCCTGTACGAGTATTCATATGAGGAATGCATTTGCGTTCCTCCTCCCTTTCTTTCTACTTTCGCCCGTCACCTTATTTATACCGCTCCCGTTCCATGTGCTCGAAACAACCCATCCGTCCCAGGGGAGGATTTACTGAATGCCTTTTTCTTTTATTCTCTCTTCATCTTTTTCTTTATGTTTCGTACGTAGGATATGGAAATCCCAAAGCAAAGATCCAGTGAGATTTTCTTACTCATCTGCACTACATCGGAATCGGTGGAGATTCGAGAAATTCAACTGTATTCCAAGGTAGTCAGCAGAATTATAACTAAACGTTACTGGTAATCGCCTTTGTTACTTTCTCTATTACTGTATATAATGGGCATATTTATTTAATAATGTCTGTTTCTTTTCTTGCTGGTAAAATGAAACGAAATCTCACAATTGTAGAGAGTAATTTATTTATCTAGCCACACCATAATTACCAAAAGATTGCGTCCATTCCGAATTCCCACATTCCCTTCTGCTGAACTCCAAGATTTGCCTGTTTGTGTATGTCAGGAAAATCTCCAGTTACCTAATGCACTTACTTTTACCTCATGTGAAATCGCTATCTAGACAAAATTCAGTAGCCCGACGCAAAATGATTTCTGCATTCTCGCCAGCAATTGTCAAAGCTACAAGAGATGACACTAGAGTTTGGGACAACGAATGTACCAGAAAAGTTTACTTGAATAAGGATGAGGTTTCGAGTTTGTCAGCACTAGCGAATTTAATGCTCCAAAGATCAATATCCTTTTTCTCGACTGTGATTTCTAGCGGCAGCACCTCTATTCTAAGCTAAGTAGCTATAAATAACTGGGATGGAGCAGTTATCCACCTTTGCCACATCGTGAAGGGCTTTGCATAGGAACCTCCTCTTTCCCCGGTTCCTGCTGCCTGCATGCTCGTGATGATTTTGAGCCCTCTCGGAGTCTGGCCTCCAGCGGAAGGGAATGGTCGTTATGGCTAGAGGCATGCAGTGAATTGCAACCGAGGGGGAAAAATACCACAAAGGAAATAGCTTGACAAGTGCATAATGACTCACCCAGTTACAGAAACGCATCACGCACCCTACCGTCTTCTTCGAATCACGTCGGAGTGTTCGTCCTGTGGAAGAGGATATCGATACTGGGAAAGTGAACCTCTCACGCTCCTTTCACATGCCAAGGCATGCCGCTGGCTCGGTGGCCGTGACACGTAATCGCAAGCTTCGCTGTTCCTCACTGGCATCGCGTGACACACATTGAATGAAAATGGATTTTTACTTCATGTACCTAGTCGATGACTTCATTTCACCCATTATTGAGACTTGATTGACTTGCAGCATTCATCATGATTTTTTAAGGGCTCTAAAAAATTTTTCGGTTGTTCCCGAGACAAGCGAACCCGAATCAGGAATCGGCAAAAAAGAGGTAATTTTTGGTTGAGTCGTTTTCTATTCCTGCTATTGCGTGAAGGCAATTGAAACGTCATCATTTTTGGCAGGAAGAAAACCGATCAAGTTAGGCGGATCGCGTTCGAGATCCTGAACGTCGCGAATTTCCTTACCTATCGAGCCAGGAGAGAGCCATCAATATTGGGACCCATAATTTCAAGAAGAAAAAAAAAACAGATGGGGAAGACTCCTTTCGTATTCCCCAGACGAACCTATCTCTTCCCTCGGTGTACCAGCCGTGTCTGCTTCTCCTGCGTTGTAGCAACTTGTTTCAGGCCTGCGAGTGTCACAAAGGCAAAAAGTGGACTTGCTGGGGGTGGGGGGGAGTTTTTAGACAGTCTGAAAAGAGGAAGCGGTGGGAGATATTACAGTGAAGGACGTAGGTGTCGAGCCAGACATGGTGGTAACAGTGAAGTCGTCACGGGGGTTGGGGGGGGGGGGGGGTATAGTTATAACGACAGAANGGGGGGGGGGGGGGGGGGGGGGGGCGGGGGGGGGGGGGGGGGGGGGGGGGTGGGGGGGGAGGGGGGGGGGGGGGGGTTATAGTTATAACGACAGAATCTCCGTCTGGTTGAAACGTGATCAGAATTTGGATGGATGACAAAGAAAAAAAAACAATATCCCACCTTTGCCACCGATTTTATCGTGATGTGAATGCGGTACCAATCTCTAATCTTGGTAATCTCGGCTTCGGTACGGCAAATTCAGGAAAGAAAATCCACCATCGGATTTTCAAAATAATTACACATTTATATTAATATTCAAAGGTATAAAATAAAAAGGATGATGAAATAAAATATTGGAGGGACAAAAGACACAACACCAGAAACACTAGCAAAACGTCTCACAGACAAATCTCCATTTGATCCCCGCCCCACCCCGCGTCTCGCCAGTATTGCACTATCCGTGACGGAATTGCACAAGATTTCCAGTCCCACAAAACAGCTTGAAAGCGTCAGATGAACGACTTATTCCCCGAATTAGCCAGAGATGGCGAGGGCGTCTCTCTCGATGCAGATACCTCCTCGATTATTCATGTTCCCTCGTTTGCATAATAATACCCAACATTTTCTTCCCTCTCCGTCCAAATGCGTAGCGTGACTAGAGAAAGTGCGGGGGAGGCGGGGATCAAATGGAGATTTGTCTGTGAGACGTTTTGCTAGTGTTTCTGGTGTTGTGTCTTTTGTCCCTCCAATATTTTATTTCATCATCCTTTTTAT